CATACAAGAAGGAGTTGTTCTTACTTCCTTTTTTTGAATGTTCTTTATTGCAGTCATGAGAATGAAAAATGCAGATAGGAATATTGAGAAATGGGGGAAAGGTTTCCGTACCAAATATAAAATGATTCTGAAAATAATTTCTTCTTGCTAAGTCTTCTTGTGAAAAGTTTGATAAATGCTTGTTGAAAATTTGATATTTTATGTAAAGAATGATGGGTTCTAGGAATTTTATTTTTAAATTCTTGAGATGTTCTTTGTTTCATTTAAATGTGGTTAAGATTATGGAAATGAGGTTATATATGGAACTAAAAGTAACTGCCTATGTTAGCAACCAAGATGAGTTGGATCGTTCACACTTTGAGGAAACATGAAAAAAATACATTGTTTTGGAACTGAAAATATCTTGGTGTACAACTGAGAAGGAGACAGAACAACTAGCAGAAGTAGCTGTTATATCCCGAAACAGAATAGGGGCTGTTCACTTATTACGTAACGCGAAAAAATGACTTCTTAGACCCCCCCCCCCCCCTCGTAACAAAATTTGTATGAAAAAAAAATTTCCTTGTTTGAACCGTAACAAAATCTTAGACCCCCCCCCCCCCTCCCCCTAAAAGCGTTACGTAATAAGTGAATGGCCCCATACTGTTTAACCGCTTTATTAAATCTCTACGATTCACAGTGGACCAATAGAAATTATCATTAAAGCAGAGTGTAGTTCAAACAAGGTTTAATTAATTGAACGCTCTTGCACGGAAAAATTTACTCAATATTTAAGGTTTCTTTGGAAGAAGACCCATAAAACTCCCGCAAATATTTAATAATTTCTATTTATGGACTTACAAGTAAATACAACATTCATATAAAGCATAATATTCCTAAAATCAAAGTTGCTCATTCGTGCAAGTTAAATATATTTATTTAATACTTTCAAGCATTTAAACTAGCCCGCATTATGAAATTTAAGAATCAAAAACATTTTCGCCATCAACAACAAATGTGATATTCGAGTTTCCTTGTTCTCCGAAGCCATAACAATATTAGATTCCATATATAAACATGAACTGGATGTGGATTCTTTTTTTTATGATAAGCATGTTAGTGTGCAATAACTTGAAACTTTTACAAGCTGTCAAAAAATAGCTCAAATCAGATCTTTCACAGTCGTGATTCGAGAACTTTTTAAGCAATTATGTAAATAGTAAAGTTTGAAACTAGAAACTTAAATATTTAAACCCACATAAATGGAATCAAAAGTTAGAAATGCGGGAAACTTTCTCCATTGTTAAAATGGTCAAGTCCTTAAAATTTATCAGCAAAGCCATTTTTCATTTCATTTCTTGTCATCCATGAATGTGCTTTTAAGTGATTCTTCTTCTTCTTTCCTTTTTATTCATTCTTAAAGTTTGTTGTTCCACTTTTACATCCAGGACCAACAATAAGAGCAAACAAACAATGGCAAGGAATAACGATGAGAATTTTATAATGCAATTTAAGTGAAATCTAAGATTTCTCCCGAGCAATTAAGAAAACGTACATTTAAGCATTTTACCGCAAGTACCTCATTATTGAGAATTATTAAGTGCCCACTTTTAAATCGCAATCGTGTAATAATTTGTGTGCTGTGCACAAATTAATTAAACGTAAATTATTTTATGCATTGTTATTATAATCGTAGTCGTAGAAGGATTTTGAGGGAAAATTTAATAGATTGGAAGGGCAAGATACCAAAAAGATTGTAAGCAAAGGACGTCGATTGGAATAAGAAGTCCTGATCTGATGTAATCTAAACTAATCAAAATAATAAAATAAAAGAAAATTTTTGGAAGAAATAAAAAATACGTTTAATATTTTTGAGATTCGAACTCACAATCAGTGTTGCAAATGTAGATGTCTACACTAGATGAAGAATGTAGATTCTTCAATAGTTTTTGTCTAGCTAAGAAACTTTCCTCATAAAGATCGATTCTACATGAAGATAGAAAATCTAATCTACACAAAGATTATTTCTACATAAAGATTCGATGTAGATGTCTACAATTCTACATTTTTTCCAGGTCTACATCAGAGAAGAATGTAGAATTGTAGACATATACATCGAATCTTTATGTAGAAATAATCTTTGTGTAGATTAGATTTTCTATATTCATGAAGAATCAATCTTTATGGAGAAATTTCTGTCTCAGAATTTATCTGATCCAGACAAATGCAGAATTGCCAGAATGCAACACTGCTCACAATGAAATGATGAAATTATCAACTTAGCCACTCAGTTCTGATTTAAGTGAAAGAATTATGACAGATTGCAAATTTAAATACTAGAAGCATGTCTTTCAAAATTTCAGAAGTTGGGGAGGTTTGAATACTATGCATATATAGTTCTAGTTCCAATAATTCTGACAAACTTCACCTAAGAACTAGATTCGCCCTTGAAAAACACCAACAATAAAACTTATGCAAAGCCAAAACTGAAGAGTCAGCACAAATTGAATCGCGTGATGTACGATTATTTTTGTTGAGGCTCTCAAATTTTAATGGCACAACTTAAATTGTGTGTATAAATAACAATTCATTCATTCTTGACTGAAATTTTATCGACTGGGAATAAAAAATTGTTTTTCGAGAAGTTTATCCTCTGTTTTCAACACATTTTTATGTTTATGAATTCTTTTCCCTTTTTTTCAAAGTTTCTTTCCTTACTCACATTACTCCCTTCCGTTATTTTTTGTGATTTATTGAAATATTTTTTTCAGTCTCGTAGACTTTTTTTTGCAAGTTTTTTTTCTTAAGTTGAAGAGTTTGGTGGATTAAATGCTTTGTGGTCTCATTTTGTCTGTTTCGTATGGTTTGTAGGTCTTCCTAAAGGAGGCTTCGGTAAGAAACGGACTACAGCATAGTCAATGTCCTTTATGTTTGCTTCTTGAGGTCCCTCAAAAGACATGGAAGTTACTTAAAAATTTAAAAATTCTTCAATGTAGTCTAATTGTACCTTATTAATCCAATTAAAATACGATTTATGCTCCTCAAGTCATCCTCCATCTCTGACGTCCTACAAACTTGCCTATCCTTCTTTCTCATTATTTTACTGCTTATTTATGTTTCACTTTGTGCTGTCGAGAACGAACGAGCAGCAAGAATAACATAACTTTGCTCATTTCATTCACTTAAAGATGAAAATGTTATATCCCTAAAATTGAAAATTTGCGGCTGGAATAATAAATTAAATCCGTCTCGAAGCTACCATCAGCTGGGGAGCAGTTAAATGAGGGGAAAACAATAGAACGGTAAGAACAAAAAAATAAAATAAAAATCACAGAAAAAAATTCACAAAAAATAAGAATCTCACTGTTTGCACAAGCAAAATACATCCAGCTGAGGATTTTTGATGATAAAAATTTTCATAAAATATTATGCGATGAAGCAATTGAAGGATTTTCATGTTGTCTTAAAGAAGGATGGCACAAAATAATATTTCATAAGATGGAAAATATGTTTTTAGCATTTTTCTCTAAACTTGTTTTCTAAATGGTAGCTTAATAATGCAGTTTGTTCTAGCGTTTGGGTTAAAATTAATAATCATCGTAGAAAGTTCTACTCAATTAAATTGCTTCCTTACTTGCTTCGCTGGCCGACCAAATCAATTGTGATCTATGGACCCCCTTAGAAGGTGCCTGAAGCTGGCTCCCGTTTGCCAATTACTCATACCAAATGCAATGCTGTCTCTGTCAACAGTTTCTTTCCAAAAGTGCTTGGGACGTCCGCGTGATCATTTGCCATCTACAAAAACCTTCTTAAAGACTTTCCCGATCAGCATACATTGAAATGTTTGCCATCCGGCAGCTGGGTTGATAGTATAATTAGAACTAAGCAGCATCCGCTTGGAAGCAACATCCAAAAGGATGACAAGTGGATGTAGGATCTAATTATACTATCAACCCGGGTGCCGGGTGGCAAACATTTCAATGAATTTCAATAGGAGCCATTCACTTATTACGTAACGCTTTTAGGGGGAGGGGGGGGTCTAAGATTTTGTTACGGTTCAAACAAGGAATTTTTTTTTTTCATACAAATTTTGTAACGAGGGGGGGGGTCTAAGAAGTCATTTTTTCGCGTTACGTAATAAGTGAACAACCCCATAATGTGTTCCGATCAGGTTTATTAATGGAAACATCTCCATGTTGACATTAACGACATGTCCAGCCTAACGGAGCCTGTTAACATTGATTCGTCGTACGATAACAGCTTCAATTAAGTTAACAGGGTTAAATGCTAGAATAATTCCAAACTAATTTCGAACCAGCTTGTAATTTAATGAAATATCTTCCTAGTTTACTATATGAAGGTTCAAGTTCTTAATTTACTGTAAGATTCAAACTATCAAACTATAAGGTTCAAAATTATAATAAATGTATTACTTACTTACTAATTTTACTGTATTCATGTTCCTATGTGGAGTTTAGGTTAAAACAAAAGGCTTTTCATCTGAATCTGTTGCTGGCTCTGTTGCCTAGTTTGTACAACTTCTCTGACCGCACATTAAGTTGACATTCTTTAGGAAATGTTTATTAGCAACTTACTTATGTGCCTACACAATGAAAATAATTGAATGTTCTCGTTCATCGATGGATTTTAGTTTTTATACATGTGGATTATTAAAATTAATTATCCCAATTCGTGAAGTTGTCAATAATGAGTTGAGATAATTCAAATTATTTTATGCATTGATAGATTTTACATCAATCAAGTTGATGTTTAAAAATTTGATAAAACGGCGACGCCAAAATTGACAAACAATTAACTGTTGAGGTTTGGTTTAACCTCCCCTGGCTGTATCCTAAATCGAATTTCTATAAAAAAATTGATTGACAAAACTTAACGAAACGTGTAAAAAATGACATGTTCTTTGAAATGAGAATAATTAAGCTTGCAGTAAATCCACACAAACAACAGAGTTAATTAATCAAATTTTAATATATAAATTTATTAAATTGAAAGATATTCCTGCAGTTCTCTTTTGGCACTTCACATAACAATATCTAAATCTTAAGATGATAGTTCTTGAAGTTTTAATTTTTACCATCGTATTTTTGGTCATCAAATATTTTTGGAACAACAGACGATTTTATTATCTTGCATCTAAAATCCCAACAAGTGTATTTGACTATTCCATCCGTGGAATCTACAACATTTTCACAGCAGACTCAAAAATGATGTTTAAGCTTATCAATCAAAGTTTTAATAATAAAAGTGACATCGCCAAGACTTGGTTTTTTCATGTCTTGTTTATAGTTCCAAATAATCCAGATGATGTGAAAACCATCTTTAATGCTAAGCAATGCTATGATAAACCAAATTTTGTTAAGTTTTCTTCTAAATTGGAGAAAGGATCAGTTTTTGGAGATCTAGATTATTGGCAGTCACATCGAAAAATTATGAGTCCATTCTTTGGACATCAAGGATTAAAAACTTTGATTCCACTTTTTAATGAAAAGTCAAGAATTTTAGTCAAAAAACTTGAAAATATGGTTGACAAGGAAGCATTTAATATTTTTCATAACTTGACTGCTTTGACTTTGGAGACAATCTTGAATGTTATGGAATATGATGTGGATATACAGAATCGAGAGCCTAAAAGTCGAGATGTTTTCATCAAATATTTAGACGAGTAAGTTCGATCATCAGAATTTTATTTTAGCTGTAGTTTTCTACATGCTTGTTTGTGCTTTGAATTAACTTTTCAATTATTTCTATTCCCAAAGATACACAAAAATTGCATTCATGAGGATGTTCAAATTTTGGCTTCATCCAAACATCATCTTCAAAATCTCTAGTCTCTACAAAAAACAATGTCATTCAATGTCTAAATGCGGGATGGTCTTCACGAATGACATAATTAAGAACATCCGTACAAACACTAAAACAAATGAAGACGAGAAACCAAAAAGTTTTATGCGAGCTTTGCTGAATCCAAAATATAATTTGACAGACGATGAAATTAAGGATGAAGTGCGTTCGGTTATTTTGGGTGGTCAAGATACATCAGCAATTGCATCATCTATGACACTTCTAATGCTCGCGAACAACAAGGATGTACAGCAAAAAGTTGTAGACGAACTGCATCAGATCTTTGGGAAAACGCAAGAAACACCTAACATTGAACTTGAAAATTTAAATGAACTTGTTTACCTTGAAATGGTTATTAATGAAGTCATGAGACTTTATCCTGTAGTTCCATTTGTCGTTAGACATGTTGATGAAGAATTAATTCTTGGTGAAAATTATAGAATTCCAGCAAAAGCAGCAGTTATAGTTCCAATCATCAGAATTCACAAAAATAAGAAATATTGGGGCGATGATGCAGAAGAATTCAATCCAGAAAGGTTCAGCAAGGAAAATTTCTCTAAAATTCATCCTTATGCTTTTCTACCTTTTGCAAAAGGTTCACGGATGTGCATTGGTTATCGATATGCAATGATGTTGATGAAAATTCAGCTTTCTTTGTTTCTGATGCGTTATGAAGTTGATACGGATTTAAAGCTTGATGAATTGGAGTTTACTGTTCAAGTGATGATGACTGTGTGTCAAGGATATATGATTAAGATTAGGGATAGAAAATGTTGAGGATTTGCTTGTAAGTGAAGTTTATTTCACCTGATATAAGTCTAGTTTGGGATTGTTCATAAGCTATGTTCATGATTAAGGCGCGTAGCCAGGAGGGTCTTATCTCCACCTTAAGCCGTGCAGCTCGTTGCAGTTCAAAACGCTTAAGATTGGGACAAGACCCTCATGGCTCCACGCCTGTCATGATTTCATTGGAATTAAGGATCTATGTTTTATCTCTTAAAAAAATGCGCTTAATATTCTTTGATGAGGACATTTAAAACTTTTATTTTTCATTGTGTCAAAGTTTATGTATTTATGCAGATGCCTGCCCAACTAATAAATTGACAATCTCTTGACCTACTCAATAAAATAATGGCAATGAAAATGCCTGAGAAAATTTCCAATGTGATATAAATTTTCCAAATTTTATGTGGATGCATGTCAAATTGTGTGTACACAAAAAAGGGAGCTAAGAAATATTTTAAAATATTGTCAGCAATAAAATAAAGATTACTTCCTCATTCTTCTCATATAAATATTTTTCCTTGAGATAGGAATAAGGAGGAGGAACGAAAAGACATTTGAGCTGGTTTGGGAGAATCTTTTGGTTTATCGGAGTGAGGGCGATTCATACGGTTCAAAAATTATTATGACTGTGATGAGGGATTCTTTCTGTTTTTGAGGATGGGCCTGCTGTATTAAATTGCTTTTATTTAACACTGTCAGTTTGTGGATTGAAAGTAGTTGAGGGGAAATTTACTTCTAATGCTCAATTTTCTCATAGTTCTTGCTACTGTTCGGTTGTGAATGCCTTAATATTTATTTAAAAGGGATGACACTTGACAATCTAAGCCTTAAATAGGGGATGAGTATAGCATATCGCAGTGGCGTATCCATTATGAAAATATAATCCCTGGTTGAAAGTATAATAATTTTCCTTGTGAGAAGAACGCCTTAAAAAAGGGCTGTTTGAAAAAGGGATGAGAAAAAAGGCATACGCAGGCACATAAGGGAGCCTCATGTAAGTATATTTGACTAAGATTATATTGCTATTATTTTAATGTCGACTATCGCAATCCTTACTATTAATCTCTTTCAGCCTTTTATTCATTCCGTTCCTCTTAAACAAATATTTGCTGTTAACTTTTCCATCTTCCTATGTTTTAAGCCTACTGAAAAGAGCTTACACTTGCTGCTCTGATTTGGCTTCTTTGTATTTTTTTTCATTGTTTGTGTGTTTCGAGCAGACATTCAGATACAAATGTATAGATATTGAGGCAGAAAAATATTACAAGGATTTATAGCGTTAAATAAGCTAGAAATAAGGATCCTTAGTGTCTCATTGTATGTTCATTTCCCCCTTTTTTGTGCATTCAGAGTTGGCAAAAACAAAAATTAATCTTTCCTGTTCAATTCACAGGCATTCTGATGCTTACAGCTCTGTCTTATTATTATTACTTTTGTTATTTCCCTCAACTACCGTTATGAGCTTTGCTGGCGTCAATCCAAAGTGAAAAATGCTTCGTTTTTAAAAAAAATAAACACGCCATGAATGAAACATGTCTGAGTGAAGTATTTTTCTATGGATATAGCTCTAATTTTTGTGTTATGTACCACAGAGTCATCATAGAGAAAGCCAATCTAGCATGAATATCCAAGAGCGCGCTTAAATCTTATAATAAATCACCGGAAAGATAATTCAACGAAGGACTTTATGACATTTTCTTCTTCTCCTGTCTTGTTGTTCTCTGCCCTCTGTCTCCTCGTAGATTTATCCATTCTCTAAGTTTATTCTTATGCTTCACTTAATTCTTTCTATTCTTTTTTTTGCCAATTTTACGCTCAAAAATTTGATGAAAGATTTTGTGGCTTTTTCAAATGATATTTTGGGAAGTTGAACTTGTTATGTCTGCCTGGATTTGTTGAAAATTATTAACGGTCATTTAATATTTGAAAAATAATTAGTTGATATAGCTTGATATCCTTTGTAAAGTCGTTAACCCCTTTTATTGAAATTTCGATCGTTTTCAAATCATCGAACAAAAAACATCTTATTTAAGATTTGGAAGTAGCTTTAATTAAACTTACTAGTAATACAACATTGTTATCATCAGGATTTGTTGAAATGAAGCCATTTTTAATAGAATCAAAAGCATAACAAACCATTTAAAACGCAAATTTATGTCCAAAATGCTAATTAAGGGGTCGTTCACTTATGATGTCCGATATTAACGGTCATTTTTTTAAAAAAATAATGAAATTCCAGGATTTTCTATCGTTCTTTTCTTGCTGACCCCACTCCCCCCCCCCCCCAGACGTCATAAGTGAACACCCCTAATTTAATTCCACGACTTTCCAATTGATAATTAATGTCAATTTTAATTATATCATTGATGAGGATTCAATTGACAAATTTATTGGTTATTAAAAGGAATTAATTAGGATACAAAGTGATTTTGAATTGTTTTTCAATTAAAATGTATTACTGACTATTTACACATAATTAATTCAATAAATTAACATAATATTGACCTGGTTAACGTGACAATTGAGTAATTTATGGAGTGCACTGCCAAATTGTGTGGAATTTTTGAGTTTAAAACAAAAATTCAAAGTTTATTTGATTCAAGAGTCAAATGAACTGCGCTTTAACTTTACAGTTCTCTCCAAAATGCCTCTCATACATACCCACATCCATATGAGTGACTCGTACTATCATGACTTTAGTTGTTTTAAAAGATAAGCACACAAAAAAAACGTTAAAAGTTTTAAACCAAAAAAAGGAAGAAGCAAACAGGAAAAAACACATTTATGTTTTTTGAGACTGAAAAATCATGCACCCGGATAATTCCAAATTTGTTTTTCCTTCTTTGCTGCCTAGCTTTTTTTTTGTGCTCCTTTTTTCCTATTGTTGGAATCCATTCAAGTTGTGAGTTCTTTCTTAATGTTGTTTTTTGCCTCTCAAAACATCTCTGCTTTTTAGTAAAACAGCTCTCATTGTCGCATGATGGCTAAAAGAATGAAAAATACACACACACACAAAAAGTTCCTCTTTGATTGTCAATGTTTTGACTTCCGATTGTCCACGACTGTTTCAATATTCTTTTCATTCTTGCTGCCAATTTCCTGATTACCCGCTTCCTATTGTCTCATTTTCGCATTATATATATCTTCAGGTAATCAATCAAAAATTTATTGCTCTGTATGAACATTATAGAATCATCGAGCATGAATATAAATTGGTTCTAATCATGCTTTTATTCGATTTTATTCAGGCATGAGGTGAGAAAAGGTTTGAGGGTTGAAATTTTGTGAATCGATTGTGAAATTGACGCATTTTAGGAGCTCGGAGGTTGAAGATTGAACTAAGGATCATTTAAACGTGTCACGAGCCATGAGAGCAAGTTTCTCAGTCTTCACTTATCCTTTTTCAAGCCAGGGTGTAGCAATAAACTTTCTCTCGGTTATGCTTAAGTTTATAGACTAGGGATAGGAGCAGGTCCAGATCTTTATCGAGAAAACAACTTTTACTAATCCAATTAACCATTTTTATATCCAATTACTTGCTAAACGACTAGATCTATGCTCTTTTGATGAATAGTCCAGATAGTAATCGAACCTTGTCACAAAAATTTCATTACTATGCCAAATCAGGTTCGGTATCATTTAAAATGCAAAAAAAAAACATATAAAATTAATTACACAAAAATTCAACGCCTTGAATTCCTTAAAAACCATTTGAAGTCAGACACTCCTCACCCAGACAATCCAACACCATCAACTCTCCAATTATAGCCACCAATCTACGCCCAGAAAAAATCCATTGATGAAAATTTCTTTCAATTTTCTTTATCGTGACTCATCAAGAAGAGATTTACATTATATTTAATGTTAATGGTCCTTGATTGCCAGCCCTCACAGCAGAAGACGAAAAATGAGAATCTTTTCCGGGACGAGAGGAAGAAGAAAGCTTAAAATGTTTCGATATAATTATTATTTTTACTGTCTTGAGGTCTCTTCTTAAATGTCTAATGATATTTTTAATGAACGGCAATTTATATCAGCAAGAAATTGATGGGTGAAGTGAGGAAGTGGATAAAATGAGCGCAATTGTGGTGAAAAGGACGAGAGTCTTTAAAGAAAAGATTAATTTTGTTAAAATTTTGAATACTTTTTAACGGTATTTTGAAATTTGATTCCACCATTTTGAAAATATTACTCACTTCAAAAAGTTTTTTGTAATTAAAACTATAATTATACACATTTAAACCTTAAAAGTCATTGCGACAGCTTCAAAAACATGGCACAAATGTTTTGACAACGTGCAAATGAATAAAATATCAACAATTTCGCAGTTTTTCATGGAAATAAAAATCAACCCATAAAAAATACAAACAAAAGCAAATATTTCAAAATTGCGCCTAAATAAGCATCAAGGAAGCAGTATCATGATTACAATCAGGAGAAATTTATAATTTAAAGTTCTCATTTAAAAATTATATTCGATTGAAAATTTCCACGACAACGATTGTCGTGACATTACGTAACACTGCTAGGTGTTTGAATACAACACAAAAAATATTAAAATTTTTAATTTATATTTTTTTCGCGATGTTTCACCTTCAAAAGTTGTTTTCAACGATAAGTGACGCAAGTACGAAGCAAACAGTCTTTAATAACAGTTTTTTTTGCGCTCTCTTTATTCGCATTCAATTTATTCCAAAAGTAAAGATTCTTTTTCTGCTGATGTTTGGGTGTTAGAGGTTATATTAGTAGCTATTCATAAAAATTACGTAGCTATGATTTTTTCATCAATCTTCGTTGCTTTACTTTGTTGCTGTATTTGACTCAAATTGGAAAATATTTTTCAAGCTTAAAGACTTTTTCTTTTATGTGAATTTAAATTGGATTAATTTTCATTGGATTTTGGGAATTATGGGATGATGTTTAAAGGAAGTTTTAGAAGTTTTGTAGGCTTGAAGGTGATTTAAAGGAGCAAAGTTATGTTTTTTTGTAGGTGAGTTTGAGGTTAGAAGCTGTTTGAAGGTAAGGTTGAAGCTGATGTATGAGAAACTCGAAGGAAAATCTGTTAAATCCGTATTAAAGAAGGATTGCCATTTTTATACATTTTGTTAATAATTCTTAACGTTTGTGCCACTTTTTTGATGAAGTTCTTTTAGTTTTAAATATTTAAAAATGCTTAATTAAAGTTTTATTTGCAAAAAACTTTTCGAGGTGGAGAAATTTTTTGAAAATGATGGATTTGAATTTTCAAAATGCCGTTTCATTGAAACTATGGGTATGTCTAACAATTTAGTTTGGAATTTGTGGTTTTAATTTCAAAAATTAACCTAGCTTCTTGCAGAACCCTTCCTTGTATTCCCCTTTAGTATCGAGAGAATCATCTCGTCACCAAATAACAAATAATGACCCAATTTTTTGTTTTGCAGGTATAAATAAATTAACAACAAAATCCTATAAATATCAAAACTACTCAATCTGACTTAAAAGTGATTTTTATCTTTAAAAACAACCAAAACATCCTCTATTTCACAACTGCTTAGTCATTCTCGTAGAGTGTTAATGAATAACACACAATAAATATCAAAAAAATCAGCTTAAATCCAATCATTTCAGTAACCGGAACGGTATGCAATGAACAATACATGTGTGTAATCTAAAGAATCTAGTACAAATTATGTTGACTTTCATGCTGCCGTAGCATAAATATGTTGTTTTCCGTCCCTAAGTCCGACAACAATAGAAGAAGAAGAAAAAAGACAGAAAATAAGAAGAGAAAGAGAATTGAGAGTAAAATCGAGAGCACAATAGCGACTTTCTCTCTGTGTATGTGTCCCGTTCTCAAAAAAGTTGTGCATTTATGTATCGACAAATGAGAAAGAGAAGAAAAAATTGATGATCGGAATTCCTTTAAATATGAAAATCGTCATCACAATATTCAAACACATTGCATATTGTGCTGATAAGCTTACCAACACATTAAGTTTTTATTTTGCGGGACTGATCGGCTGACGTAGAAAAAAAAATGTTTGAGTCACACAGGTTTTTTTTTCTAGCTTAAAAGCGTGACTCGTCGCTCGTTTACTCGCTCTCTCGCTGCTTCTCTAAATAATTTTTGTATTTTTTTGCGAACTATCGAATGAAATAATTGTTTGGGGGAATTTGTGGGGAATGTCATTGCTTATTTTTAAATGTACGGGAAAGAATGTTTATTTATAAAATTTCTGGAATTCTTATTTTCCCAAATGCTTCATTTAAATACAATTTAATATCTTAACGGTTATTTTAAATTCAAAAAATTCCAATAAAGCGTCGCTTTAATGCAATTTCAATTTTATTTGTTTACAAAAGAAAACTTGATTTTTAAAGAATCTAGACATCAGATTGATCTAAAATCAGTTGCTTTTGAATGAATGAAACAATCTAAATTGATTAAATGACATCCAGCTTATAGAGATGCTTCAATTTCGGAAATTAAAACGAATTTTCAAAATGTTTTATTTTTGGAACCAAATTTTCTCATTTTAGAGCCTAATTTGTACTAATCTCTTTGCAAATTATGTATAGACATAATTAAAAACCGCAAATCTGCAATTTTGACATACCTCTAGCCTTCAAAACAGCTTAATTCTAATAAACTCAATATTCAATACCAAACATCCAGTAAAAATCAAAAGCCATCCTAAATATCCTTCCATAACATCCTAGACAAATCCATAACTGAGAGAAATTCCACAACAAACCGTCAGTTGAGCAAGCAATAAATAAAAATGGATAAAAATTGAGAGAGAAACGCGACATCACTTCCACTCATTTCCCTCACATCGTACGATAAATTTTTTTTCATTTCATTCTCTATCGCCATCTCTTTCCGATTTTGGTCTCATGGTACAATTGTTATTTTGCAGAGAGCTAAGCAAGTAGTACCTCAATATTCCACATATCATAAAGTCACTAAATATTATTGCGTCCGGTCCGACAATATAGATTGATTAATTAAGTTTTTTTATTTGTTTGACTGCATAAATAATAATTAATTACGATTACGTGTACCGCGATCGAAAGATGATGAATGCAAGGCCATCATAAAAAATTATAAGAGAAAATACCAGAAATGATATGAGTATAATAATTTGATATTATACCGCGCCGAATCATACGAGTCGGTCCCGAAGTGCTTAAACGCGTGTGTGTATTTGCCGTTTTTTTTTGGTACATCTCAGCATCTGAGTATACTTTTTTTGTTTTTTTGAGTATTAGGAAAGTTTTCTTCTCCTCAATTGACTGTTTATCATAAAAAAAAAATAATTCGTATCGAGCTGTGATGCCATTCCTCGGGTAGATCTCATTCGAAGACGAAGTGAGTTTTGACTCTCCGTGAGCCTTGCGCGTAAAAAAATAATATAATATTTGTGGATATTTTAAAAAACAGGACTTTTGGATTGGGTCTTGATCTTCCTGGATGTGGAAAAAATAAATTTGCTAATTGAAAGGTTAAAAGATTGTAATGTGGATGGTCGCAACTAGACATCGAGGCGAGAAATTACGTAAATAAAAATATATAAAAAAAATCGCATATACGTAAAAAAATCTAAGAAAGAAAAATAAGGTGTGTGTGAATCTCTGAAGTTTTTTTTTTGCATAGAAAGAGAAGAAGAAGTACCGAAGGCTTTTTGTCGCAAATATATACTCCAAAAAAAAGAAAAAAATTATAGAGCATACTGATAAAGAGACAACGTGTGGGTGCCAAGTATTACTCTATTATCGTGAACAGTCTTAATGAAATAAAAATTAATGAACAAGACGAAGAAGTAAACGTAAAGACATATATTTATCTATTTTCGTGTATTCGAATTGTTTTCTATTTTATTTACAATCGACATCGATCGAATGATGAAGAAAAAATAGTGAATTTACTTATTCATTGTTATTATTGTGAAGAGAGCTAAAGTGAAATCGTGGAAATAAATATAAAAATATTGCAGTAGATACAACTGATAAATAATCGTTATCTACATTGTGTTCTATCTGTGACAAAGTGGAAAAATACAATTACTCATCAGTGTAGCTACTAGCATAAAAACTATAAATTTATGGCTAATCTGGAATTAAATTCATTATAAATCTCGAATTGATCATTATTAGAACTCAAAAAAAATTCAACGGATTTTTAAAAATTTAAAATTACATTCCAAAACAAAAGACAACTTCAGCTAAACTCTTAACCGAATTTTTGAAAATTCAAAAATTAAATTTTAACTAGATTTATCAAAATTATCAAAAGAAGCTTAAATTAGACTAGAAAGCCAACAAAACAGTTCCTCAACTTAACTTAACAAGTGAAGTTCCAGAAATAGCAGTCTAAATACCAAAACAGAGCAAATTTAAAATCATAACTGTCAAAATATATTTGAAATATAGTGAATAAAGCTAACTTCAAGCGATAACGAATTTTGAATTATATCAACCAACTTCAAGCAGTATTTTGAATCTCAACGGTTTTTGAAAGTTCAAAAAGAATAAAAAGATAACTTCAAGTGACAGAAATTTTAACGCTTGTCAAAAATTTAAAAAGTAGCTAAAGTAGACAACTTTAATTGAATAAAATTCAAAAAAGATTGTTAAAAAAACAAAAACAAAGCAGTCAACTTCAATTATTCAGTAATAAAATAATCAAAAATAGGAAAAAATGTGTGTTAATTATGTTAAATAGCCATAAGCAAGTAATAGATGTAGTCAGTGTATGTGTAATTAATTAATTGTGTTAATATAAAGGTGGAATTTATTCGTTAACAAGAGAGAAAAGTGATGATTTATAGCAAAAGAAATGAAATTCTTCATTGTGTATTTGTGAATTTACAAATTATTTAATAATTTGTGCCAAAAGAGATTAGTTAAATAATATTTATTGACTGTAGAGCTGTGTGATAAACAATTTTGGATCATGATTATCAATATTGTACGCTCAACAAGCGTATTCTTCAGTTTCTGTTTATTTTCCTTCTTATTATTCACAATTGCTTACGTAAATGGACAAAATGATAATCTGTCAAGTCCAGCACAACAACAGCCAAATAGTAAAGTTAATTCAATTAACATAAACAATAGAAGTGTGACAAACAGTAATAAAGAGCCACAAGCTAGTGATAGCGTAGTGATAAAGAAGAAATATTCAAATTTGAATAGTAAATATGAGACGCAGTCATCGGTGACATCCACAACAAGCATTGGTCTCTTTCCTGGACCGAAAAAGAGTGAGTATTTAACTTTACTAGATCATGTTAAAATATTTGTAAATTAATGCTAATTAAACTTAATTGCCTTCAAACGCAAAAGACAATTGCCAATTGCGTGCCTTAGCCCTAATTGAATTTGCCGTCTGATTGCATCTGTAATTGGAAAATATTATGTTGTCAATAAACGACTTTAAATCAGAGGTCGAAGCCGACATAAGTTCGCTCCGGTTCGCTAAAAAACCGATTCGATAACCGGTAAATTTGTATAGAATGTTATACTTCACAAGTGGCAGCAAAACAAATTCTATTCAATTTTGAATCGGTTTTTTAGCGAACCGGAGCGAACTCATGTCGGCTTCGACCTCTGCTTTAAATGACTTGTGGACGATAAAATTCCACAAGAATTAAACAATTCAAGTTGTTGTAGGCTTAGTTATCGATGGGAAATAAAATATAACGTATGTAGTCGGATATTGATACGGCGCGTACATGTATTTTATGTTATTTGAGAACTTGACATTGAAAACATTTTACACATTTTTGTTTTGTGTGACACAAAAAAGTGAAGTAGTTAATCGGTAATGACGATGTGGGAAGTTTAAGCGCCTTAGATTGTGTTAAATTTCTACAGAAGAGTTGAATTTCTAAAATTTCAGTAATAATTCCTTCTCTACTTGAAATTTCAAATTTTAAAAGTTCGTTACAAAAAATGTAAACAATTCGTTTGTTTACAACAATTTTTTTTGTAAAGATAAATTTAATAATATTATTTGAATTCTAACATATTTGCAAAGTCATCAGATTTAGATGAAGAAGAAGAAGTGAACTTATTGAAGAAACTTCTAACGGTTTTTTAAAATTTGAAATTTGCTTCTGGAAAGATGCGCTTTTCTGATTTCTCGGCGACATGAAAATTTATCAGAAGATTCGTTTTATCTTGAAATTACTATATCCAACGACTGCAAACAAGAACTCATTTTCGGAAATAGGTACTTCATTTTCGAACTTGATTTGTAATTTAAAATTTCCGTTGAAAATATTTGTTTTCATTTCTTGGTCTTTATTGAATTTATAAAATTTAATTTTTTTAAAATGGTCAGAAATTGTGTAATTACTGGTTGTAAAGGAAAAAAAAACCAATAAAATACCTTTGTTTAAACTTTTAAAAAGCTCTGTGCATAAAGATAAGTGGATTGAATTTCTTAAATTGCATAGTATTAAATATTGCTGTGAAAAAAAAACATTTCTTGTGTATTCTTGAATTTATTTATAGACAGCTTAATTGTTTTACCTTATGTTCTGATTCTTCCTTTAACCAGAAATTCATAAATACAGTAATTGCACAAATTGAAGTCGATTTTGAACATTGTCAAGATACAATTGATAAATTATTAAAAGTTTTTGTTGAATTTAGAGTAAAATTACAATTTCAAAGTTGATTGGTACATAGAAGGAATAATTATGCTTCAAAAAATAACTATAATAAATATATTTTTATTAATTCCCTAACGATCATTTATTTTTTAAAAAATTTAATAGTTCGAAACAGTTTTCTTTTGTTCTTGTTTCTTGTTTGCAGTCGTTGGTATTATATAAAACTCAATTATATTTTTAGTTATTATTAGAGAATAATAAATTTCCTGTCGAATGATATATATATATGACGATATAAGTTGTTTTATAATTGCAGAAATTTGAATTCTTTGGATTATCAAAAAAAAAAAATCTTTTTTTGTCGCCGAGAAATCGACTAAAGAATTCAAATTTCTCTTTAATTAAAGTATGTTAGACTGTATTGAATATATTGAATTGAAGATTTTAACTTTTCTCATCATCTAAGAATAATTTTGAAGGAACTTTAGACCAAAAAATAAGAAATATTTGAAATTTTATGTAAAAATTTCCAAAAAGTTATCTGTAAAATTGAAATCATGATTTGTGGCAGTTTTGGAATGATTCAAATTTTATCTAAAATCAACGGACTTTTGGAATTCAAAATTTACCGGATTTTTGAAATTCAAAATTTATATGCTTTTGAACCATTGTTTTTTGAATTTTGAACTTTCGTTAAATTTTTGAATAGATTTTGTCCGTAAAAATCTTCAATGTACTAATTGTCTTAAAAAATTTTAAAATCATCAGATCCACAAAGTAATACATTTGCGAAATCAATAACAAAAATATTTCAATGCCAAATCAACTGTTCCTCCTAAAAACTCATCAACACAATCAAAATCCACTTAAATTCAATGCTTCATCTTCACTTCAGTGAGGTCAAAATATTAATTGAAATGATTTTTCGAATCTGTTCCAGCCTCTTGTTTTCGATTTATGATGATATTCATGAAAATAATTCACCCGAAAGTCTCAATTAACTATTCAGCTATACAAAATGAACTCATAAATGCGTGCATCTCATAAATTCTCACATGTGCATGTAGGGATGTGATAATAATACAGCTTGTTAAAGCAAATCCACCATAAATTAACCGTTCGTTCAACCCCTTTTATGAAATCATTACAAACTGTCAATATCGGCAAAATGTCGTACGACTCAAAAAGTTAACAATTAAAATTAATTTATGATGAAAATAAATGGTAAAGAGTGACGACTTTATTAGTTCAAATGACTTCTCTACATTTTTCATTTTTGTTGTTGTTCCTCCCTAGAGAAATCACAGTCAAGTCAGAATGAATTGTTGTATATGTCCAAATGCAAAAAAGAATCACGTGTCAGATTAATTAACTTGTCCTACATTTTATTGTTGCTTTATTATTTGCATTTTTCTTGTCACTTTTCAGCACTTATTTTTCATATTTTCTTTTACTCCATTTGTGTGTGGCATGATTAATGGAGAGAAATAAGTAAAGAGGTGGGAATTGTATGGAAAAGAAAGGTGATAATAATTTAAAAGGGTGTCTTGGGAGCTAATTTGAGCTTTAGTTAAGATATTTGTGGATAATTATGCAATTAAGGATATATTTTTCATGTTGTAAGGTTTTTTCGTGTTAAAAAAAGAAAATTAAGCAAAAAAAAGTTTGGCTCCAGAGAGGATCGAACTCACGACCTTCGCGTTATTAGCACGACGCTCTAACCAGCTGAGCTATGGGGCCAATTTTGTGTGATTTTTGATTTTGGATTTTGTGTCAATATTAAGCAAGCTGGTTCTTATCAAGAGATTTTCGGACTTAAATATTACTTAAACTTTGATAAGGGATTAATTCGAATGTTTTGTCTACAATTCAATTGATTTATTTCTTCTATAGCGAATAGATTTGAAGTTTTTTAAGAAAACACTTTGTATGAAGATTCTAAGACATTAGAGACGAGTTTAGAGCATATTCATTCGAAGTTGCTTATTTACATCATTTATGAACAACCTCAGAAATTGTTGAAAGAAGGAATTGGCTGAATTTCATTGTTTTGAATAATTATAGAATAAAGTTGTTGAAATTTCTGTCTCTAAATTGCTGTAAATTAAACTAGGAACCAATTAAGATTAATTATTACAACCCTAAGCTACTCAAAAATCATGAAAAACGCTACCAATCGACCCCAAGCTTCCAAAAACCAACCAAAGTTTTTACCAACAAATCTCATAACACAGTAAGAACGAATCTTAACAAACAAAACATCAAAAGAGCATCTGACAAACTCATACAAAAAGGCGCCACAATTTTTCTCTCTCCTAGACTTCACACCCGTAAAAAAAAAGAACTGTGAATGAAAAGAGCAACGCCTAATGTAAATCATTTTATTCCTTTCGTCTTCTTTTCTCTCTTCCTGGCGCTTACATGAATGAGTGTTCTCTCACTTGTTCTATGTCTAGTTTTTATGGCACGGATGGCAATGGGAGATAAAGAGGAACAAACAAATTTGCGATAAGCAAACACAAAACCCTTTTTACAGTCGCTCTCCTTTACCAACGAAAACAAATTACAAATTACAGTTAATTTAATAATTAAACAAACAATGCCAGGATATGAAAATGGTTTGGGCACAGACAAGATGAGTAGAAAATTACTTGTCTTCTCGATTGGTGGGAATTTGTAGATTATGTTGTGTACATGGAATGAAGGATGGATGAGACCGAAAAAAGGGGATTTAAAAAAAATCTCAGGGTAATTAAGATTGAAGTGAAATTTGTAATTAGTCAAATATTCTCGGGTATTAAGGCAATTTTAAAGTTTATGGATGAATCCTTTGGTAGATTTTGGAAGGTTTCAAGGACTTTCTGTGATATAATTTAATCGTGTTAAAGACTGAAGCTCTAGATTTCTATGTAATTAGTTCTTGGAACCTTAAAGTTGGAATTGTGATTTAAAGTTTGTTTAAGTGATCAAGTTTGTGGCTGCTTAAAGTTTGTTTTGATATTTGCAACCTTGATTGTATTCATTTAATGACTTACTGTCCTCAGATGTTAATTTTGCTGCTTATTTCTCTTTGTACAGTTCAGCTTCCTGATTCATATTCGAATTCAATGTTACCAAGAGTTCTTATCTTGTTTATCAAGTTTCTCTGCTTTTAAAAAATTATCTTGACTTTTAACAGTTACTAACTTACTCAATAGCTTACCAAATTGAGACTGCAATGAAACTTCCTTAAATAAAAGCTACAACTTAAGTTAAAAACAAAATTTATTTCCAATTAAATCGAATTCAAAAAGCTCTAAATTGACTTAATTCATCTGCATTAAAATCCAATTCTCAACAGAATTCTCCATTCATTCTCGATTTACATCCTTAGTTTGAGTTTTATTGCACATGTTTTTGGGGAAAATAATTGCATTAAAACAAGGACAATAAATTTTATGTCAAACTAATTTAAATTTTACATAAATGTGGGTGGAAACTGCTCGTCTGTAGAATTTTCAGCATCAAATGACTTCAATTTATTTTTGGATGTAAAAAAAAATACTTATGTAATCATTAACGGTTATTTTGCTCGATGCTCAATATTTCCCTCTTGATAATCCATTATCGCTTATTGAAAATTCTCTTTTGTACTGCATTTTTAC